AAGCCCCCGACCCAGCCAAGCACCTAGTTGGGAGCTCGCTCCCGGGGCTCCTGCTCGCTGAGTGCTTTCCTGGATGGCAGCCGGCCGTTGCTGTTAAGTCACGAGAAAAACTCCCTTGAAGTCAGTGTAAGTGAGAAGAGGATCAGGTGCGTGGACTTCAGTTGGTGCAGGGTCAGGCCCTCGGTCTTACTTTCTCAACTCGGTGTGTTGGACTTTGCCTGTGCAGCTCCCAGGGGGTCCAGTGGAAGTTGCATGGTTCAAGCCGCTGACATCTATTTGAGAATCAAAAAAAAAAAAAAAAAAAAAAGAAAAAATATAAAATAAACAAAGTACAATGTCTGTGGTAGAAGCAAGGCTTTTCAAATCTGTTTCTCAGGTAAACAAGTGACACTAATGACAGTGGAGTAACAGCCATCTAAGGGAATTGGGATCTAAAGCAGGAGGATGCCCTCCATCTCGCAGGATGCTTGGGTTGCCAGACACGTTTACTGAGCCTTTGAACACTTGGTGCGAAAGGAAACAAGAAATAAAATCGGTATTCACCACCACCCTTCGCTAGATAGACAAACGTCCATTTCAAAAGCACAAAGGGAAGACTTAAACGTAAACTAACCCCCCCCCCCCCCCCCCAAAAAAAGAAAGGTACCAGTTAAACTCCTTTTGTCTCTTACTCCCAGTGGGAAGCAGGGTAGAAATCCAAGGAGCTGCTCTGTTCCGCTGCCCGCGGCGCCGGCCGGGGCGTTCCGACTGCTGCCTCCGGAGACGTGAATGTACTGCTCCTTGAGTCCCTTCCATAGAACTAGAGGCACCTCGTTAGGAAGTTGCTCCTGTTTTATGGTGCTAAAGAAAACTTTTATCCCCCCCTTGAGCATTTAAGAACTATTAAATGGCCCTTTTTATGAATGTAACATATCCATTTCTGTTCCACATTTTACACTGCAATTTTAACATGTTTGGAAATGATTTGCCTTTTTTCTTTTAGAATAAGCTTTATAAATATTCTGTAGAGTCAATTGAAGTATAATTCTTAAGGATCACTCTAAGACGCCTACAAAATCTTGTATATTTTTAAGTGTGCCAATTTGTAAAATATTTTGTAAGTGTATATTTTTCTTAGAAAAGTGCTGTGAAGTGTTTGTATGTGTGAGGTTTCCCTTTTTTTGCACCTTCGGGTGTTAATAAAAGGATGTATACTTAAAAGTTTCTGGTTTTAAAAACCAAAATACAAAGAAAAAAATTACACTTTTGTTGGGAATTTTGTAATAAAAAGAAATGTTGTGAAAGCGCGTAGTGAGATTGTGTAACGGAAACTTTTTAAAGAGTGTAGTGATATTGTGTAAAGGAAACTGGAAAATTTGTGAGCGCTTTGCTGTTTTATAGATCCTCTTGTAAATTATTCTTGTAATATTTTGGGTTTTGTTGTTCTTGTTGCAAAGGTTTTAAATATTTGTGACTGACTCTGTATGGTGAAAACGTCATATTGTTAACTTGCTGAGTTTTGTTATATCGTTTATGGAATAAATAAAAAAAATCCAAAATCTCATTTTAAGATCATATATGAAGAAGAAATTAAAACTGCCATTTATTGAATATTAGGAATCGTTTCTTTAAACAAATCGCTGCCATAGATGAGGATCAGCCTGGCTGCCCCCGCGCGCACGCTCCTGGTCCCAGCGCCCCGGCGTAACCGGGCCGATGCTCATCATTACCTGTGAAGCGCGTTAGCGGGAAGCCCCTCGTCATCGCCGGGGAGCGGCGTGGGCGCCTGCCGATGGGAAGAAGCGGGAAAAAAGTGCTCGGATCGCTTCTGCTTTAGAGAAGGGTGGCTTTTTTTCATTGAGAAATGGAAACCTCACCAAATGGACACGAAGAGTTACCGGTTCGCCTTCCGAGGGCGCGGCGATGGGGCAGGGCGGCGCAGCCAGGCTTGCCGAGAGGCGAGGCTCTTCCAGGCCCGCCGTGCCCCGGAGAGCGGGCTCCCCGTCCCGGCAGCGCCCCGGCACTGCCTGGAAGCACACCCCCGGACCGGCCTTTTCCTGGGAAGGAGCAGGTGGGTGCGGTGAGATGCCCCGCGGGTCGGAACGCTGCTGTCTTCATTTCCTTGTGGAAAATGCTTTTAAAAATATTTCTTTTTAAAAACTACCATTCCTTTCATTAGCACTTAATGTTGACGGGAACATTCATTCAGTCCGAGGTCTTTCCAAGCCCTGCCAGCAGAAAGGAGGACCCGGGCACCGTGTTCAGCAACCAGATCCCGTGGCGAGGGGGTGGGAAACGGTCCCCCAAAAGCAGACCTGGTACCTCTACAAGGTGCCTAAGTTCACAGCCTGCTTTCAGACGAGCGCTGCCTCCGCCGAATTGTGCCAGGCGGGCACAACGGGGCACAGGGTTTCAGTGCTTCCCACCGGTTGTGCGGATCCTGATGCTGGGAGGCCGGAGCAGCGAGCGGGGCGAGTGCTGGAGCGGGGCCGCCGGCTGGGGAAGGCTGTCGGCAGCTCGGCTTTAAGAAGGACCAAACCCGATCTGGTGCTGGAAGGGTCTGCTCTCTGGTAAGTAAAAGGTGTAGAGGGGCTGGGCCAAGCCCATGGCCACCAAAACCATCCAGTCTGCCCTCCTACGTGGGATCAGCCCCGCGACCCGCAGACTGGAAATAGTTCTAGCTCCTTAATGGAAGTCTTGGGGACAGACTTTTTAGCAGGGCCTGTTGCTATAGGACAAGGGGTGATGGTTTTAAACTAAAAGAGGGTAGATTCAGGCTAGATCTAAGACATGTTTTATGATGAGGGTGGTGAAACACTGGCACGGGTTTCCCCAGAGAGGTGGTGGATGCCCCATCCCTGGAAACATCCAAGGCCAGGTTGGACGGGGCTCCGAGCAACCTGATCCGGTTGAAGATGTCCCTGCTCACTGCAGGGGGCTGGGCTAGGTGACCTTTAAAGGTCCCTTCCAGCCCAAACCATTCTATGCAATCGGTGCGCACGCAGGGGCATCGCAGCAGTGGAAGGCAAAGGCCGGCGAGCCAACACCAGCGCTTTCCCCGTGCGGCCCCGGCCCCGCGCCCATGGCTCTGCGGGGAAGGTGCCAGCAGGAGCCCTGCGAGCGGGAGGCGTTGGGGCGAGGGGCGGGCGGGAAGGCCGACGTTTCTCTGAGCTGTTATTGCAGGTTGTCTTCAAAATTGGCGTTAGGTCGCTTAAAAACACGCTTTTGAGTCCCTGTTGCAATCTTGTGCCTTCTGCAGTGCGACCGAGGCGCGGCTGCGATGCCGGCAGGTACGTGTTTGGCGTAAGTGGTACCAAAATTTGGGGTGGGGAGATGTGCTGGTGTGTCCTCCCCCGCCCAGGGAGGATGCCCATCGTTGGAGGACAAAAATTGCTCTTTCAGTTTCTGCCCCCCCTAGATCCCAATGAGATGGGTATTTCTTGGGCAACACCCAATTTCTTGGGCTCTTTCACAGCTGGCTTGCAGGCTACGAGCTGGCACAGCTGCCAGCACCCTTCCCGCTCGGAAACAAAGCTGAATGCCAAAGCCCCGAGCGCAGCGGCTTCTCCGGCTGCAATCGCTCCTGCGTGGCGCGGGCAGTGCCTGTGGTCTCACTTAACTCCCATGGATGGTTAAGGCTGTAGTTGACAAAACCTTGGCTTGTTCCTCAAAGGGACTTCACCACCTCAGGGGCTCCTCTGCTGCTGTCGCAGACTTTTTTTTGCTTGCCGCAGCATCCCGCCCTCTGAGCTTCCCTATGGATGCAGAAGTTGCTGGGAATGGGATGGAGCAGCCTGTTCACGTTCCCCATTTTTAACTGCGATCAAGCATTTAGTGGCTGTGCGAGTGGCACGGGGACCAGCCGGAGGTTTAGCGCCGGCATCGGGCTGGGGGTGGCCGTAGGTGCAGAGGGGTGATACGGCTGGAACAGGGATGCTCAGGGACCAGAGCTCCAGCCCAGGAGCAGAGGAGTGACAAGAAATGCGTGTTAGTGACTGGGTTCACATCCAGCTGCATTAAAGAAAATGGGCTTTTGCAGCTTGTTTCCAGCTACCCTGCCTCCAAAGCCGTAACTCTACTGAACTCGCTGAATAAATACCTGGTATAAACCAAAGGCTCAGTGTATTTACCAGCCCACTGATTTGATAAACTTAAAAGCAGGTCCCTGAAGAAGGCTTGCACCAGATCCCCTGCGCCATTCAAACGAAGCGATCCCAAAAGCTTTAGAAGCCTGCTGCCATGGACAGATCGAAAATTCAGGCTGGTACCGATGGGCGCTCGACACGTGCCCAGCCACAGCGGATCTCGCTGCCCAGCATCCAAACTGGTGAAACAGAAATCAGTGCTCGACTGCTGAGCTCCAGCTGTGTTTTTGGAGCCGCCCGAGGCATTTCCCCTCAGCAAAGCCCAACCCGGCTTGCACAGGTTAATGCTGCTGTCCCAGTGACCCCCGTGCCCCCAGTTTGGCCATCTGCCTGCTGCACTTTGGGAATTAGAGCCAGCGATCCCAGGCGTGCGTGGCTCGATGGAAGGGACCGTCACAGGGATGCACTGGGACGTGCTCCCATCTGGAGGCTGCCCGGGTCGGTGGCTTGTTGCGGAGCTGAGCGAAGCCGTGAATGTCCGTATTCATCCATCAGGTGAGCGGCCCAGAGCCTCCGCTCGGCAGCCGGAGGGGAAACCCTTCACCTTGGCTTTCCAGACAAGCCCAGGGAGCACGTGCGCTGCCATGCCGTAGGAGAGCATGGCACGAACCCTCCTAATTTCCAATAAACCCCCATCTTCCCACCTTGTTCGTATAAAAACCGCAGCTCTAGAAAAGGTGTTGAAAAGAGGGACTCGAGTAATTTCGGTTCCAGCTGTACTTTTGTGGGAAAGCCCATCGATACAGATGTTTTAATGATTTGCTTCTCAAATCCCGGGGGAGCTTTTTTTGATGCGCAGATTCCTCTGACGTTTGAGCAGGATAAACGTAGTAGCCCCTGCTAGGCAGGGGAGTGCAACCGGAATGTCGTTGCCTTGGCAAAGCAAAGTATTAAAAAGACAAACAGTCCAGCTGGGAAGGGTAAATTAGGGTTAAAATCACCCTCCGCTTGAATTGCACCGTCTTATCTTCGTAGCATTTTAAAGGCAGAGGTTTCATCACGGTAGTGCTCCTTTAAAGGGATAAATTCCCACATTTAAAAAATGTAAAATACAGTGAAAATTACCCTATAAAATAAGGCACCTGTTAACTGTATAAAGTCTCTATCTTTTACTCAAATAAAACACATTTAATTAGGCTGCGGAGCCTTCGTATACCTGAGTAATACTACAGAAAGGGCCCTGTTAAAGCGGGTTTGTGTTTATCTAACACATTTATATTATATGCACATATAATTAAAATGCTCATAACTTCTGGATGAACCATCATCCATCAATGCATACAGCCCAGTGACTTCTCCTTGTGAATGAAAGCAGAGTCAGATTTTAATTAGGATGTAATTTAATCCCGCCGGCTTCGCCGGCTTGTCGGCGGGAGCTGCTGTCTCTGGCTGGCGCAGGCCGGCGGGGGATGAACCTGCCCTGGGTTCACCGCGTCCTGAAGCAGCAATCTGATTTTGCAACCGATTCCCTAGGACGGCTTAGAGCACCTTCACCTGCGCTCGGGAGGAGTTTGCCTTCACCTGCACTGAGGAGGGTTTTGCACAGCGGTTTTTTCACCCTATTTAACTGCTTTGCCCAGTGAACGGATGGAGCAACAGCGGGGAGGTCAGGCGGCAAAAAACGCCGCACCACCAGCAGCCCGCCGGCACGTATCCCGGGAAGAATTAGATTTAGAATCTATTTCCTATAGCATTTTCTGTTATGAGCTTACCTCTGCTTAAAGGCTGCTCTGCTGTACCTTGACTCAAAGCCACCTTAATACCCTGCCCCTCCACGCACTGCTTCCTACCGAGAATTCCGTTATTGAAATGCTTGGGAAATGGGATGCATTAAATCGCTTTTCCTTGCTTTCTCCGCCTCTCCTGCAGCCAGAAGCGAAGCGATGCACGGCTGAGGAGCGGAGACGCCGGCGAGGCACAGGCCGGCCCAGGTCCCCGTCTTGTCACAGCAAACCCACGTGTTCAAGCAGGACACGCTCACGAAGCTCATCCAAATCCAGGTGGGGATTCATGCGAGGCATCCCGGATTTCTGGAGTGGTCTGACCAACGGCATCGAGCTGCTTCAATTGATCGACAGCCCGGTGGTCTGTCTGTCTTTCTCACCCCCTTTAATTATGCCGTAGGTAAACCCTGCGGGCTTGGGTGTGAGTTTCCCAGCGCAGCATCTGGGAATGTTCCTGCGGTGCCGGGCTCTCCCAGCATCCCCCGCCGCCGCGGCCGGGCGGCTCCGCTGCGCCGCTCCCCTTCGGCCGCCGACCCCGCGCCCGGGGGCTCGTCCAGGCAGAGCAGACGTCCAGTTTTAGTTCAACCAGGTTGGACTCTGGTGGTTGTTACCTGATCAGAGCACGGCAACGGGAGAAGCTGATCGGTTATCTGGTGAATTTGGTGGGTTTTTTTTCTTTTCATATTGCCAAAGCTTAGAAGCCCTTTTATTTTGAAGGGTAGGGTCAGTATGGTTTAATGTAATATTATCCAGGGCATACGCTGAGAGGGGTCAGAGATTCTCTGGGTGCCGTTTGCATGGGTTTGGGACTAGAAGGGTGCATTAGATGTGGTTACACACATTTTAGGAATGCAGCTGTGCCATCTTCCAGCTGCTGGAGTATCTGCCTCGGCTAAGGGCGTGCAAGCTCTCGGGCCCACGAGGGACTCGTTTGGGCCTCCTGTTCCCAGGTGGCCACGCAGAAAGGGCGGGATGCCACCAGCGGGGACACATTGGTTGTTCCCGGGCTCAGGGTGGACCCTGATGCTGTGAGCCACAGTTCAGTACGGGCTGAGCCCTCAGAGGGATTCATTTGGGAAATGCCTCATCTGGGAACCTCAGTGATAACGAGATCGGAGATACTGCTGAACTGCTCAGCACCAAATCGCCTCGGGCATGTCTGGAAATATGGTGCCCACAAGATTAGGCATGAATTTTTGTGACGATGACACATTGGGATGGAGGCAGGTGAATTCCTGGCCCTGCCAAAGTCTTTGGACACTTCAGGACATCTTCGACTTCCCTTGAATTGGATGGTAAACGTGTGATGGAAGGAAGATTTGCTCCTCCATCTCCTGTGTCCCTGACTGGTAACTAAACCACTGGATTATCTCTCTGTAAACGTGCAAACTGGGTTGAAGCCTGTCGATACCATTCCAGTCGTCTCTGATGAAAAGCAATGAGAAATTGCGAAGCTGAGCCCGCTTTCACCCCATGCTGTGAAGTTGTGCTACAGGCGCCACACCGGATCGTTGCGTGTGGATTTTCATGTGCCGGGGAATGGCATGGACTGAATCACATGTGGAAGCTGAGCTTTCACTCTACATTTTCTTGCTTGGTTTTTGCTTTAATATAATCCATCTTTTGCTGCAGAGCACGCTGGGGGAAGATTTGCAATATGCTAAAACCTAAGAAGCTGGAGTGTGAGAGAGCTGCAATGAGAAAAATAATCCAACAGCACCAAAACTTTGTTTAACGGCCCAGTGAGCTCAGCAAAAACTGCTCAAAAAGGGTCAGAAGTGCCTGCCATCCCACGGGCTCGCTTTACGTAGCGTTGAGGGATGGTGTAGGTCCAGTCCGAAGGGTCTTGCGCAGAAGGACGGGCACGCAAACATCAGAGTGAGATGCTGCAGCCCGAGCGCTGCCGAGCGTTTCAGTTAGTATGCCGTGCCGGCAGTGTCGGCACCTTGGTTGGATTTCTTATCTGCCATTTCCAAAAGAAAAAAAGGCTGGGTGGGCTGCGGCACCATTTGTTCTCTCTGCTGAGCCTTTCCCTCAGTTGGTAACGTTGCACCTAGAGGACCTGGTGGTGGACTTGGCAGTGCTGGGTTAACGGTTGGACTCGATGATCTTAAGGGCCTTTTCCAACTTTAATGATTCTATGATTCTAGGACGCGAAACTTTTTTTTTTTTCCCAAGCCTGTGCCTACGGGCTGGTGTCTGTCTCGCTAATGAAACCGGCCCCGCTGAGCCGCCAGCCCTGGCACAGCCTGGCCACTAGCCCGGGGCACGCGTGCTGCTGGCCCTCCTGAGTTCATTAGCTGAAACGAGTTAGCACAAGGTGGGAATATTCTCATAACATTAGCTCGTGCTGAAGCGTTTGCAGGCCGGAGGCCTCTAGAGGGTGTCAGCTAATGAGTTTAAATTGTGGATGTATTTTTC